TTTTTCTTGTTTCTACTAAAATTCGGCAATGTAACTATAACAACATCGGATCCTGTTTGACTTTCATTGTATAAATACCACAAGGCAAACAGTTGTAAACGATTTATCTTCTTTCGCAAACTTTTAATCGGCACACAGATAATACATACCTGCTGCTGACAAGATCTTCACTCTAAGGACTTTTCCTAAAGGCTCTTTTCAAAGAGACTCACACCCTATTAAGACCTTTGGTCAACTGACAGCGCTGCAGAAGGTAGGGGAAGGAAGAACCAGATCGTGTCGTCTAAACGTCTTAAGCAACTTCGCGAAATTCGGGCTTCGTGTATACACGTCTTAAGCATTTTTCGTGCGATTTGAAATTCGTGTAAAGACGTCTTAAGCATTTTTAAAGAAATTCCAAAAACGTTTAAACACGTCTTAAGCAGTTAAAGGGTTAAGTGAATATAGTTCGATGTGTACATGGGTAAAGTCAATGGAGTGCGCAGTGCCTAGTTTGTGCAATTCTCTGATGTTTTTTCAACTGAAAATAGGTCAATGTGTGCATGGATAAAGTCATGGGAGTGCGCTATCCCAAGTTCGTGCAGTTCTCTGGGTTTTTTTAAGTGAAAATAGGTCAATGTGTACATGGATACCGAGTTTGTACAATTTTTTGTCTTAGCTTTGTGTAGCGGCACCACTACACAAGCCAAAATAACATGTTAAAGAATTGCACAAACTCGGTATCTATGTACCTCCAGAAATCACCAATTTTCGCCAAGGGGTACCCGTAAATATATTTTTACCAGATTTTCTAAAAAAACAGTCAAAAATATAAATCTAAAAGCAATAAAACAATCTTCAATCTTTCTGTGTTTTTGAAATTCCTGTGTACATAGGAATTATTTATTTGCTAAAAAATCATATTAAAGTATGTATTAAAAGCAATTCATATTGAATGATTTATAGGAATAATACTTCTACACCAAAATCTCGTATACAAATATTTCAGTGTTTTTACTGAACTGGCAGTAATGATTCGTTTTAATTTCATTAGTAACAAATTCATTAATGTTGTTGTTTTTGTACTAGCAAGTATTGACAAATGTCTGAATTCAAAATCTCAAAATTGGGCAATTTTTTTTTAATGAGTGTTGTACAAGTACTGTTACGTTTGATGAAGTTCTGGAATTTCTGAAGTATCCATAATCTTGAGAAATTATTATTATCATATGTATCTAATACAATTTTTATATGAAAAGTCAGAATTATTATGCATATAATATGAATATGAGACATTTTACTGTATAAATCGACTATGCTGGCATACTTTAATTTTGTTTACTGTTGATCATAATTATAAAAGAAATGTTATACTCTTAAAACCATAAAATTAATGTCAGAACATGTTTTTCTTTTTTTTTTTTTTTTTTTTTTTTTTCTTCTTGGATGTTTTTTAAACTTTTGAGTAAGGCAAGATTTAAATTGAATTAGTCTATTAATTTTTTTGTATAATTTACATAGATATTATTGAAGTTCAAATATACAACTTGAAGTAGGGGTAAAACAATGTATTCTTTGTAATAAGCATATTTATTTTTAAAATCATATTTCATGTTTTGATTGCTTATTATATACTGCTTTGTATACTGCATTTTATAATGAATGATTTTCATATCATGTAGATCCTCATGATCTCTTTGCTCTGCTTTTTCAATTGCAAATTCTCTCAGAACGGCACCAAAATGTTTTCCAATTGATTTATTTGGTAACAACTGGTTTTGTTGCTAAGTGACACTAAGTGTACTTGGTAGCTCATGTGCGTGTAAAAAATAGTATAAGAAATGAAGAAATTTTGATTTCATACATTTTAGCCATCCAGTATGTATATAAATATGTTATTTTGCATTTAATTAATTATGCTTTACCAATCTCCATATTCAATTGCAGCACTTCAAGTTAAATATGAGAAATGTATATATTTGACCATTTGATATATAACCAGTATATTTTGGATGGGGAATAATTAATATTTTAAAGCCTGTAGTGTATGTACTCAGATGTTTTGTTATACATTTTGATTGTCCATATTATCAAATAAAAAATAAAATCATACTATTACCAGTACTATCAGAAATCTCTCAAATGATTTGAGGGGATTTTTCTTTTAATTATTAACAACTTTTGATAACTTTATGTTAAAAACAATAATTTTCTGAGAATATTCTTTGAAATACCAAAGTATTATTTAAAATTTAAAATAATAAAGAACAGAAATAATGAAATATTGACTTATTATTAATTATTTTTTAGGGTGAAATTGAAGGTACAATGCTCTACCAAAGGCTTCTATTGCAAGCCAAGAATTCTTATTTATCCTCCCTAAAAAAAGATTCAAATGGAAATATGAATCCTGGGCTAAGGGTTCGAAGACTGCTTGAAACTTTAAGTATCAATTATGAGGAAATGAAAGAGGCTGAAAACTGGCTCAGACCTCCTGATGGTAATATCACGCAGACTTAAAATCACAATTTTCAAATAATCACATGCACATCTTAAAATGCCATGCTTTTCATATTTGCAGTTAATCGCCTGATAAATTTAAAATTTAGGAAATAGAGAATATCTGATTTCAAAGAGAGAAGAATAATAATATGTTTTATAGCCTTATAAATAAATATATGTATGTATAATATCCAATAGATTAAAAAAAAACTGAATTCCATAAATTGAGAAATTAAATGATCCCAATACCTGCTTTTCCTCATATATGAATATGAAAGATGTTTGAAAAGAGAAAAACAAGCTTTATTTCCTTAAATATTGATAATAGATCTGTATTTTCAGCTACCGACTTTCTGCTAGTTATGTAAAGAATTTATGGAGAATAGTTTCAGTACTGGGTTGGGAGGATTGAGTGAACATAAAATCTAACAGTTTCAGTGCTGGGTTGTCAGGATTGACCATTGATTGTCATAAAATATAATTTTATATATTGTTCATGTGCCACTCTACTCTGGAGTCAGTTGCTATACTATTGGACACAGATTCAAATCCTATGGAAGGCATGGGTGTTTGTAAGCGTATAGTGTCTTTTTGGCATGGAAGCATTTAAAATAGTGTTGAGCCAAAAGTCCTCTTCAGAGATTGGTGATAGGGAAAAATTAGATTTTATTACTTATTATCAACTTTCGGATTGTTCTCTTGTGGTTTTCTGCATCAAAATTGTAACAGAACTGCTCTTTCCCATGGGTGTAAAATCAATTATCTCCTGCAGTGCATCCTGGGCAATATTCTCAATGAGACAGCTCAATGACTGATGGGTTCTGCTTTTCCCAATAAATGATTAAGTAGCAAAGTGCTTCGCTGATAGAGAAAAAAGTTGTTTATGTAGAACAATATTCTAAAATAATAAAGCATTAGTATATTATTATATCAGCAGGTGCAAAAAGCTCCATGACTTTATAAAAAGTGTAAGAAAAAAATAAATTATTGTGGTCTGTAACCTGTTATTGCATATTACTGATAATAAATAGTTTTGAAATTTGGACCAAATCAAGGGAGCAGCTGTATAACTGAAGTTGTTTAGACTTTTACTGGTTATTTATTGGATATTATAGCACTCCTCACTGTGTTAGGTGCTACCCTTATGAACAGGCTATTCAATGATGCATATATTCGTAAATTTTGTCTATAAAGGTATAGAAGTTCCTGTATCTAAATTATTATAATGAACAACTTACTTATAATTACAATTTTTATTATAAAAAGCATGTTTTTATATTTACTGAGCCCCAATTCTACCCCTTGTTGAAATTTTTTCTCTTTTTTTTTTTTTTTTTTTTTTCTCCCTAGAAACTCATAATTTCAATTTTAAAAATTGTTTTTTTAACTGTATTTGGTGTTTTAGATTTTTCTCTATTTTAGAATTTTTAATGAAAATGTTTTGAGTTTTTTTTTTTTTTTTTTTTTTTTTTTTTGCTTTGTTACGGAAATTCGAGGAAATAAGTTTAAATGAAATGCAGCCAAAAAATATGTATAATTTAATATGCCATACAAGGAAGTCTTGTGATGACCACTTCAGATTTTTTATGTCAAGTGACCAATCATGATTTGTGTGACACAAAGATAAACAACAACAAGAACAAAAAAAATGCAGATATTTTGATTTTTCTTAGCAAACTTTAGAACTTTCAGTTTTGATTAAAATATGATCTCTGTAGCTCTTAAAGAGGATTTTTCATCCTGAATAGTTAAAACTGAAGCACCTTGCTTATTTGTAGAGTAATCATTTATTTTAGAATACATATAAGATGTCTTTTGATAATTTTAATGCAAACTTTTGTTTTGGAATGGCATCTCAATTACATTAGAATTATTAGAATGCACTAACTGTTACTGATGCCTCTTGCCATTCGACATCTTTTTTTAAAAGAACATCAGTAATTAAGTAACATCAAATTTTTGTTCATCACTTCTTTTTCTAGTGAATTCTGAAGTTAAATTCTTGGGTATTAACTTCAATAAAATACGAGAGGAAAAAATGTCAGTGAGAATCACTAGTAGCGTTTAAAGAATTTAGATTTCTTATTTGTATTTCTCTGTCATCATAAAGCTTCCTCAATGCTGCTTTGTTTCCGGAACTTTTTATGCGTCCTTAATTCAGCAATTAACCCTCTCACTGTACATCTCGCGATTTCCACAGGCAATGTAGAAGTAGCGAAATTTTGGGATGAATTTTTGCCGTCTATTTAACTGTGCAACCCACTCTTTCCCCGTTCAAGGTTTCCTTTCAGCTTTTCTGTGATATTTAATTGTTTATTTAGATGTGAGCTAACAGATGGCTTTATTTGTCCACATTTCTTCCAAATATACAAGAATACGTATTGTAGCTTTTTGCATGCTTTTTTCAGAGCTCAAAGATGTCTGGCAGGAAGCGTTTCGCAAGTGATATAACCTATATTCCTGACGATATTTCCGACACTGATAGTAGTTCTGACTCTGATTTCAAGTATATTGAAGATAGTTATAGTGAAACTGATGAGAATTTCTCGTATTCCTCTGCAGATAGTGATGAATCTGAAAATTCAGTTTCTATTGAAAACGTTCGACAGTGGTGCAAAATTGATATATATGTTTTGATTGATTGAAAAAATTGATATATATAATATATAGTATATATGTTTTACATGTTTTACCTTGGTATTTTATAAAATAAATCATAATTTAACCAATATTAATTTTCAAAAATTCCTTTTATATCATTATTCTTCAATTTCTGTATTCTGACAACCTTTTTCTATGATCTAATTCTGTATTGAAAAAAACTCTTTTATAAAAAATTTTTGTATATTTTAACTCTAAAATATATGTAGATTTGAAATATGTAATAAAAAAAGCAATTTTTTAACCTATTTTGATAAAAAAAAAACTATGCAGTGAGAGGGTTAATGTGCATATGCATTAATTACGAGGTTATCTCTGCCAGAACAATATTTTAGTATTTCAACAGCCTCTGTATGGTTTTCACTAGTAAATGATAATCCAGTAATAGCTTTAAAAGCTAAGCTTCCCAAAAGCAGTTTTAAATAATGAAACTTATCAACCGAGATGAGACTTGTTTTAGTGTACAGAATTGCTAAACTAGTTTGAGAATTCAAGCCAAAAACAAAGATCACTGTAATACATAGCAGTCTTAAATTTTGGCAATTTAAAATATTCATTTTAGAAGTTTTCAATTTTGAAAATATATTTTCATGACTAGAATTTTTATATTCAATTTTACATGTGTTTTTCTTATTTTATTTCTGAATTATACTTTTGAAACTTATAATTCTTTCCTAAAATTCCTGTGCAAAAATTACTTCCATTCCTAACTATGAGCTTTTCAATCTCAGAAGCATATTGTTTCATCAAGTTCGATTTTTCAAGTAGCATTTCGAAAAATTCTTTTACTTTTTCATCTGTCAATTCACCCTCTTCTAAGAGTGTAGATTCTAGACCGAACTTACTGATGAATTTAGTAGTTAAACTACATGTCACCATATGCATTTTCTTAGCCTTATACGTAGCCTCTATTTTAACATTAAATTTTATCAGTAAATAATAAATTTTGTATTCAACAATTCAGTTCTATTCAAAACTGGAAAAAAAATTACTAAGGGCTTACCTTGAATTATTTCCCATTTAAAATACAATCTTTGGAGTTTAAAAGAATTTGATTTTTTCAGCCATAGTCCAAGTCTACTAATCACATTTGGTATTCTCAAAAAAAAAAAAAAAAAAAAAAAAAGGGGGGATGGTGGGTTGTAGCGTATTGAACTTTTATGTATGTTTGACTCCATGTGATGACCGTGCTATTCTTCTATTCCACCTTTATTTACATATTTACTGTTCTTCTGCTACCTGGCAGATATATACTCTTACAAGTTTTCTGCCACCAAGCAAATGCATTTCATTATATTATTAGACATCTACTTCTAATACCATGAGCAGTGAGATGCCTGAGATTCTGGAATGTCTGCTCCCTTCAAGTTCTAAATGCAGCTAAACTACTTTTATGTATTACTCCTTTGGTACTTGCGCCACCAAACCACCACAAATCCTTTGACTTAACAATAATTGCAAGTATACTTGCCAAAGTGTTCATATTGGGACTTTATTTGTTGCAAGATATATGGGAGGGTTTTTTTTTTTTTTTTTTTTTTTTTTTTTTTTTTTTTTGTATTTTAATATCATATTTTATTTCATATTAAAATATAGTTGTTTTTATTGCTTAAAGATGACAGCTGGATGGAAATCACACCCGAAGCATTAGATTCTATATTAGAAAAAATGTCACAAAAACCGAATGAAGCAAATGTCACCAAGGTTATAACAGATGGACTTAAGTCATTTGTTCACCATCGATCTGATATTGAAGGCATTGAAGTTTCTGAAAGCAGTCAAAAAAGTAAAAAGCAGAAGATAAATTTTGATCCTGATGCCTTTGCTGATGCAATGAACACAATTCTTGGTAAGCTGAATTTTTCTCCTTTGTAGTTTCATATTATTATTTTATTCATTTTGAATTTTTGTTTGTTTAAATTGTTAATTTACAAAATTATCAGTTTTCACTTTATTAAATAATTTTAATTTAAGTAACTTAATGTATGTATATTTACATGCATTTTCCTTTCTTCTTTAAGTTTAATATTGTACTATTACCTGTGTGTGTTTGTAGGTAGGTAATAGCACAATATATATATATGCACATATAGGGTGATTATATTTAAAGTTACCCTATTTAGACCTATGTAGAACTCGTTTTGGTAGATCTGTTTTGTTGAAACTTTGTATATATGTTATGGAAAAACTTGAAGTGGGGTAAATCCTAGGTTTCACCAAAGTGGCTTGGTTTTGATATGATTCCATTTTGGCCTTTTACCAATGCCTTCCGGTAAAAGCCCAAAACAAAGGATTACTTATGATAGAATTTTCAATTTACAGATATAATGTGTCCCCAAAAGGTTAAAATACACTTATGATAGAATAACCCCAAAAGGTTAAAATACACTTATGATAGAATAACCCCGAAAGGTTAAAATACACTTCATAGTACACTTTTACAATTAAAAAATTGTTAATATGAATTGTAAAAGTGGTCAAAATGAGGTATGATTTAAGATTATATCGATGAAACTGTCTTACAAATTTTTTCCAAAGAATTACAAGAAATAAAAATAAAAAATTGCATTATACCATTTCACAAATAAGATCCCATGTGAAAAAGCTGAACAAATGCACAGTTCTCTCGATAACTACTGAGAGATTTCTATGATTTTGGCAATAATTAAAAAATTTAAATTGATGCTCAGGGGGAAAAAATAAGAATTATGAAATTCGAAAAATAAGAGAAATGTAATTTATGTTTTTCTTTAATGCTACTACTTTAATACTTCTTACTACCTGTTACAATAAGATTGACTGTTATGGCATTTTGAATTACGAAGTAGATCAGCTGATTTACACAAACACATCTTCATAGTACACTTTAAACATTAGCATTTTCAGTCCTTGTCCCCAACTAAAGAAAGTTTTTTTACTACCTCGCATAAGCTTATTTTTTCTGTACCAACTTCTTCGATGTTAAAAAAATTTTCTTTACAAAAGTTAGTCTCGTGTACAACAATTTTTATTTACCAAACTTAGTACTGAGAACTTAAAACTCATCATCTTTAATATGTGTAATAACAGCTATTACTGACTTTAAATCCATTTTCAATATATCAGTATCAGGTGCTTTAGTAGATGGTATCATCATCTTCCTTGCCACCTTCTCAAGTTCTTCTTTAGCTCTCTTGAAATTTTATCACATTTTGAACTTTGTTGATAATCACATCCATGCCATCCAGACAGTATAGTGATTAGGGGAGTCTGACTGTAATATCGAAGGGCCCAGATTCAAATCCCGGAGAAGGCATGAATGTAAAATTGTCTGTCCCTTCATAGGATTGTAGTAGTGGCTACCTGTTAGGTTCCTCCACAATATAATGGCCACCACTTCTGGCCTTAGGAGTGGCCAATGCCGTTATAGGCAAGTGCCCACCCATTGGGGGGAGGAAAATCATGCCCATTGTGTCAGAGTATATATCTGGTTCTCCCCCTCCCAATTTGAATTTCAATATCTACTTCCACCATTATGCATGATTCTTTTTCACATGTATTATTATTATCTTGTGATTCTAAATCAACTGTTGATTCGATATTAGTGCCTTCCTCTTCTGTATTAACCATGCATTTATTATTAATATTTATAATACTTTCAAAGTCCTCTTCTGTGGCCATGTTACAAGTTAAATTACATGTCAAAACTGAGTTAGCAAGTCCCATCTTCATTGGGCAACCAAACATAGCTTCGTAAAATAAACATCAAACATCTGATACCCTTATGATATGCATTGTTTTTCATTGCTTTAACAAATTTTAATCCTTCTGACCAGTTTTCTGTTTTATTTATTTCCATCCATATTGCCAATTTATTCTCAATATCTTCGTTCACCAGAACCTTGTGATTGACTGTGTCTTCGTTTACTGTGAGCTGTTTTTATATGATTCCACATAAACATTCTCTATTCTGACAATGAGAGGGAATTTGGCTGCAAAATTCCCTCCCATTGTCAGAATGGAGAATGTTCAGGGCTTTAAAGGTTGTAAAAATATCCAGAAAGTAATATGCTACTTCATCAGCTGTTTTCTTATATAAACTTCAGAGTAGGATGAATTATTATTCTTGATCCACTTAATGAATTTCATATCACAATCAGGATTGGACTGCATATCTATTAGGTCATCTTGGCATCGAGAATTCATTTCACTATGCACAATTGGTTTGGCACTTTTGCTCAGTTTTTGTTTTTTCTGACATAGTTCACATAGTCTTACATACATAATGATAGATTCAACTGTTACATTCTTGTATCTGCGATTCAGTTCTTTAATCATATAGATTCTTCCACTATGGCTAATTGTGATATAAACATCATGTATGACATAGAAGACTTCCATCAATTGTAACATAAGAGTACTTTCTGCTTGTTCTGCAGATAGTGGTACTGTAACATTGTCCTCTTCTGTATTTATTATTTTAGATTTAGTATTTAGGATATCATAGCCATTCAACCTTCTATAATGCACTGATTTAGCAAATTTTGTTAGCCTTATGGCCATTGATGTTGATAGCCTTGGAACATTTTGAGGTCAAGTGATTCGCATTTTACCCTAGGCAGAGCAGTCAATTCTTATAACTATTGCATATGGGGTACTGCAAGTCCTAATGCACTGCCTCTGCATCTTGATTACATTACTGTAAGATGTTTTTTTGCTGCTGATTTCTTTCTTGTCCCCTCTGTCTTTGAGGAAAACATTCCTCAAGGTCCTCAAAGGTGTTCCATTATTGGTACCAGTTACTGCAAATTTCTTCAGCAGCGAGTCATTCCTGCCTTACAAGAATGGGAATGTTTAGAGAAAATTGTCCTCATGCAAGATGGTGCACCACCTCGCATTGCCAGTGAAACACTGCTAACCATTTAAAGCACTGCTTCTTTCCCACTTTGGAAATGATCGGGTAATTTCAAGAAGTTTTCTGACTGCCTTGCCTCCTTGTTCTCTATGCTTGAATCCCTGTTACTTCTGTGTTGAGATTTCTGAAAGATTATGTCTTTGATGGTAGCATATAGGCTGTTCCTGATTTGAAAGCTAGCATAACACGTCATATTGCTACTGCTGATCGAACACTGTATAACACTTTGAATGTGTGATTGACGGAAGTGGAATGCACATTGACAAATGTGTGATTAAATAAAGTTTTCCCCCCTTTTTCATCACACGTTCCCTTTTTACCTGGTAGTCAAAATTTGAACTATAATTTTTTAGTGTAGTTTTCTTTTCCTCGTGGTGTATATAATCTACATAACAAGCTTCAATGAAATAGGCGTACCAGAATGGACTCTATGTAGGTTTAATAGGGTAATTTTAATTATAACCCCCCTGTATAAATACATGTAAGAAAAATAAAGTATATGTATAAGATTAAATTAGCAACGTAAATTTTCCTTCTGTATTCTAAAAATAGTAACTTCTATTTGCACTGCGTCATTTTGAGACTAATCGATGTCATTTGACATTTGTCATTTTTTTTAAAAGTCAGTTCACCAAATTACAAGGGCTTGTGGATTGCAAATATCCAAAAACATTGTTCATAAGAGATTCAAGGAATCTGGTTGTATGATTCAAGTAAAAATGGCTCGATCATTACTGTTCTCAAAGCTTCACAAACTAATGAGATTGCAGTGGGCCAGTAACCACATAGTATTTTCAGCAGTGAAAAAAAAAAAAAAAAAGAGAGAGAGAGAGAGGAATCTAGATGGTCTTTGACAGATATTCATATTACTTGCATGACTTATGAAAAGAGTTATTTCAGTGGGAACAGTGGAGGTGGTTTTGTTATGGCGTAGGCAGCTTTTCGTTTCAATGGGCACGTGGGTTTCACCTTTCTAGATGGTCGGCAAAATTTGTTTAAATACATAAAAGCGTTAAGAAACCATCTTATGCCATTTGCAAAAAACACTGGAGGACAGAATTGGGTATACCAGCATGATAATGCCCCTATTCATACCTCTAATGTTACAAAAAATTACTTAAACATGGAAAGTATCACTGTTCTTCAGTGGCCACCAGTGAGCCTCGATTTTAATCTGATTGAGAATGTGTGTATAATGCTGGTATTATGTCTCTAAGTCTCTAAAAGAATGGAAGGCAGTTTTCTTCCGTGAATGTTTTAAAAGCAAACATTGAGAGTGCATAGTACAATGTGGTACTAGAGAGTGCATAGTACACTTTTATTTAGAAGTTTTCTATGAAGGTATTGTCTTCAAAGATATCCCATGACTGTTTTATCAAAGGTAAAAAATATTCCATGGATCTTTTCGCTTTTATGATAACACAAACAAATACATCAGTGCTGATTGACCACCATTGAATAAAATGTATCATTATAATCTCTTACAACACTTTTCTTATTCAAAAAAAGTTTTGTTAGTAAAAATTACTACAGTAAATTCTTTTAAAATGAGCTCTCTTAAGCCAAATGCATGGTTAATAGGAACAAAATTTCAGGGTCAGCAGTGATGTATATGGACTTATAAGAAATTTAATTGGTTAACATAAATTTCAGTTAGCACGAATTGTGAACTATTTTTTATTTAGTCCATTGCATTGTTAGATTTTTATAGTTTAACGTCAACTTTCAAAGTTTTTCATATTTTTTTCCTGTTGTTTCTTTGATAGGGCTGTGTTATGAAATTTTCTATCTTGTTTAATTGAAAATCTTGCAAAGACAGTGTATTCTTTAAAACATAGCCCATCATGAATAACAGTTCTCGACAATCATGATCATTGCATCAGTGATGTGTTAAGGCATATTAAGTCGTTAAAAGGGTTAACAGCTAGAGTTACATACTCGTAGCAATGTACGTAAAATCAGGGTCCTGGTAGAATTTGTACTTATTTTGTGAAAAAAAATTCATAATGATTTAAATTCCATTTATACCATATGGATATATTTTTCCTAATGCATGCCCACATATTGGAATTAAGGGTGCATACAGTTGCATATAAAAGTAGTATATTGAATGATATAGTTGAAAATGTATGTATAATGTTATATAAAGAAGTAAAAATGCATTTCAGACTTTCGAATACCTGGTTCTGATGATGAAAAATCAAGTTCATCTATGAGTGGATATTCAGATGATGATGATGATGATATTTCGCTTGATGAGCAAAAGCAGGGTAAAATATGTATTCTGTGTTTAATGTGTGTATGTTTCTCTTTCTTCTAATGAATTTTACTTGTGTATAATGTTTAACACTTCGAGTATTTATTTTCAGTAAGCAAGAACAATATCTCTGGTGAATGTGGAAAAGTATTGAATAAAATGAAAGCTTACATGGACCAGATGGATAAGGAATTATCAAAAACTGATGTTGGGCTAAGTTTTGAAAGATTACCACCTGCACCTGCAAAAAATGTTCAAGTTGAGGTAGTTTATATATTTATTTAAAATTATCTATACTGTTAAAATCTGTGTAAAGTGTCAAAAGGTTTTCTTTCCTGGTTTGGCAACAAAAAAAATTATTTACAAATTGGTTGTTGTTTGGAAGGAATGAACTGATTTCACTCATATTGAAATGTTTTTACATATACTTTTCAGGGGCACATAGAATTTATAAATTTTCCTTTAACTGCAGCCTTCTCATCTGGCGGGATTGCGGGCTAGTATTTTTTAATATGAGATATTAATATTAAAAATAGACATCGTAAAGTTGAATATTTATCCATCACATATGGTACATGTTGATTGACATTTAGGTAACAAAAAAAGTTGTTTATGATTGAGAATAATAACTATTAAAGTTTTCATTTATTGACGTCCATTAGTTAAATGCCTAATTTCCTTTCATCTTTAGTTTAATCTGAAACATTCACTTGGGTCAGCGGAATATTAAATTTTGAATGTAATTTCATCCTGTTCATATACAGTATTTATATTTAAAACAGTCATCTTATCAGATTTAGTTTTCATCAAATGTAATCACATTTTTCATAACTTATATGGGCTCTTTCTTAGCTTTATCAAATTTTTAGCATTTTTTATAGATTTTTTAACTTAATTTCATCAAATTTAGCTGTTACATTTTCATGCTTAGTTCAAAATATAGTCTATAACTATTTCAGAAGGGAGAGAGAAATCAGTGTTATAATTAATTGTTGTAAATTTATTATAATTTTGAAATTAAACAATTAAAAAGAATCAGCAAATTACATTGGGATTTTTTGCTTATTTTATGCTAATTTTTTACTTTCAAATAGTAACATTTTAGTCAATTTTATTGCAATCTAGAGATAGGCAAAAACAATTATTCTGTTAAAACAATTATCCTGATAATGGTTATTCCATTATTTTGAATGTGACAGAGCATGTGAATATTATCTTCCGAAGAGAAAGACGCCCAGGAAACTGACTTGCATTCATATTATGCATAGAAAAAAATTTGAATATCAGCAATGCCTTTGAATATCAGCCTGGGCTCTACGCTTCTTCATCTAGTGTAGAGCCCAGGATAAACTACCTGTATTGTACAGTCTTTAACCTCTCACTCACTGCTAGGGCATGTTATGGTATTAGATTCGAACTGTTCACTTACTGAATTGAATTGGTTCTATTTTATGGCTCACCACTTGCTAACAATAAATACCTTGAAGCATAAGATCGGGAATAGGGACTGAATCAAAAATGGTCTGTGAGGATGAAGCAAAGAGCAGAAATAATCGAATGAGCAGTGAGATTGGGAGAATCAACTCATTCAAGCCACTAACTCCTTGGACTGATTTCTTTTAACTTAAGGTTTGTGATTCCCTAAAACTTTCTACATAAAACCAATAAAATTCTAGAGCAAAAATTATTCAAAACGTTGGGAAATGATAAAAATTAGATTTTTTAACATGAGACTATAAACTTTTTTCTTTCCTAAAAATAGAAATTAGCATGCTTCTAACAAGAGCTCTCGATGGTGCTAAAAATCTACAAGCTAACACTTATTTTGGATGAATCAGCTGTCACTCACTCAGTGAAATGAATCAGTTTGCAAGCAAATGCAGCATTTCTTTTGTAATCTCAAGATTAAATTATGCAGTTTTTGATTGCCATGATTTGCTTATTCAGCTGAAAAGTGAAATATCAATGGATTTTTTCTGTGAAAGAATGCTATATAAAATTAAGGCATAAAAAAAGGGCTCCTCCTTTTTTTTTTTTTTTTTTTTTCCCCCCTCAATTTTATTAAGCATCATTTTCTTAGCGCTTAATCAATATATAAGTCAATGGCAAAATCACAAAAATTCTAAAAGCAGCATAGCAGCATATACACTGCTGGCCACCCAAATTGCAACACTAAGAAAGACAAGAGATATCACAACAAAATTTATTTAGTAGATAACATGTTGACCAAGTATCAAATGATTAAATTTATAGAATTCTGTGAAGTGTGGTTCCTTCCAGATTCAGTAGCCAGAGTAGCCGCCATTGTTGGAGATCACCGCTGCCACATGCCTCGGCATTGATTCAAACAGACTTTGGATGTGTTCTTGGAGTACAGCAGACCAAGCAGCTTCCACACGTTGCCAAAGTTGATCTGGTGTGGCAGCTTGGAATGTAATCAGGGTCAATCGTTCAGCAACCATGGACCACATGTTTTCGATCGGCGTAAGATCCGGAAAGCGAGCCGGCCAGGGAAGCAATTCAATCTGGCGATTGACGAAGAACCCTTGGACAATGCTTGCCACGTGTGGTCGCGCATTATCCTGTTGAAATATGGCTGTGGGCAAGCCCTAAAGGTAAGGAAGGACAACTGGCTCCAACACCTCGGAGATGTAGCGCTGGCTGTTTAAAGTACCGGCAATGCGTATTAGAGGAGTGTGAGAGGGATATCCAATACCGCCCCATACCATAATACCCGCTACAGGACCAGTGTGGCAGTGCATAACGCAGCTGTTCAGCATCCTCTCTCCATGGTGTCTCTAGACTAGAATCCAATCATCATGGTGTTGTAGACAGACAAATCACTCATCAGTAAAGACAATTTCATTCCACTCTGCAGTGCACATCCTTCTTTCATCGCACCATTGGCAGCGGAGACATCTGTGGTTCTGCGTCAAGGGTGGACGTCTTGCGGGCAGATCACTCTGCTGTAAACGGCCTCGAATGGTACGCGCAGACACTGGATGATGCATTACAGACTGAATGTGCTGTGCTATGGTTCGTGATGTGACTGAGCGATCCGTCGCTGCCATGCGCACAATATTCCTGTCCACGTGAAGTGGTGCACTGAGGTAGATGCGATCGAACACGTCGGTCCGTATTACCTTCCTGCATCCAATGGTCACATATCCACATTACAGTTGTTTGGTTTCATCCAACACGACTAGCAATTTATCTGAAAGATAATCCACACTCTCGGTAGGCCATTATCCTTCCTCTTTCGAACTTGGATACTTGATCAAACAATGATCGCTGTTTACTATGAGGCATAATTGATCCTCCCCCCCTTTTTTTTTTTTTTGAAAAATTGCATGAAAAACACAATTGGCGAACTTGAAGTCATCGAAAACTCCAAGCCTTAAATAGCACTTTGAAGTGGTGCCATAGGTGCACATGATGTGCTTCCGCACTGAAATTCTAATTATTTTCATATCTCACCTCTACTAATGCATGTTGTAAATTTCATGTTATTTGCATGCTTCCTTCAGGGTGTTGCGGTGGCCAGCAGTATATTTAAAATTCCCAATGCAGTGTTAAGTGCTGTCATACACTTTTATATTTTTTCAGTCTCTTTTCTGTTCATCAAATCAATGTTCAGTGTTCTTAGTAAGATGACTTACAAAACTTTTTTTGGTTTTTTTATTATTAATATTTTGTATGGTAACTTTATTTATTAAATATCATATTCTTCCCACCTATGCCACATAAAATTCAATTCAGCAGCAGAATCGCAAAATATTTAAAAACAGCGTATCTCTAGAATGTTGGGCAGACTGTCTTGCATGTTGAAGATAAAAGTATTTTATTCTATACAGTGATGCCACTGCTTGCTTTCAAATGATTGAGTTTATTAATCAAAATATGAAGTAAGTAATAATAAGTAAATTCATTGATGGCTCTAGATACACTTATTTTTTCAGAGTGTGAGAAATATACATACATTCATGCAGATTCTTCATTATTTAGTTCTTTTAAAAATAACATAAGGTGATAATATTCGGTAACAACAATTTGAAAAGTTATTTGCCATTAATAGTGAACTGATGCAAAATCATATTTTGAGGCTAATAGCCCCTTTTGTTTAACAATAATATTCATGTGTTAAAGTGATGATAATTTAAATTCATTATGAATTTGGTAAACTCAGGGAATTTTTCCAATTCATACCGTTATTTTATCAAAATGTGTTACCTCATTGCATATTAATTAAATTTATTCCTTTAGGAAACATTATCTGATATCAATGATGAAGAGGATGATTTTCAACCAGTAGATGTTGATTTGACAGCGTTGAAAAATATTTTAGAATCTTATTCAAATCAACAAGGCATGCCTGGACCTGCCAGTAACTTGTTTTCTACAATGGGCATTCAAATTCTTGATGATCTTGATTCTTGAATTTATGTGTTAATTGCTTATTGCTTAGCTGAATCATAATGAAAAAATATTTCATATTTACATTAACTAATTACATTAACTAATTATTAGTTAATGTATTTTATTTTTGTCATTTTTTAAGTTCAGCTTTATGACAAATTAATTTATTTAATTTTTTATGTAAGTAATTATTTGGAGAATAAGACTGCTAGTCCAGTCAATCGAAGATTCAAAAACAGTGTTTTCAGGAAAAATTGTAGAGGTTTTTTGCTTAATGATTATATGTGATTTTGGCATGCTTCAATTCATCCAAAATTTACTTCTGCCACTATGCCAGAACCCTGCTTGACAATGAAAACTGGGGGGGGGGGAAGAAAAAAAAAGAGAGACAAAAATTTTGCTACTTTATCTTGCTTTTTCAGTTGAAATTTAAGCATTTTTTTAGGATGATCAATCACTCTCTGCAAAATTACAGTAGACGAAATGCATTTTAGAATTGTTCTTTGTAAGTATCCAAAGTGTCCGAACTCGTGGTAAACATTAATAGAATTATAAGTCTAAAGTAAGAACTGAAACTTGCAAAGGGTGTAGAAGACCCTTTTTAATTAACGAAATAAGAACAGTAGGCACACTTTGTGCATACAACTGAGCCAGCCATTTGTGGCAAGGTAACTCATTGCATATTAATTAAATTTATTTCTTTAGGAAACATTATCTGTTATCAATGATGAAGAGGATGATTTTCAACCAGTAGATGTTGATTTGACAGCGTTGAAAAATATTTTAGAATTTTATTCAAATCAACAAGGCATGCCTGGACCTGCCAGTAACTTGTTTTCTAAAATGGGCATTCAAATTCCTGATGATCTTGATTCTTGAATTTATGCATTAATTGCTTATTGTACAGTTAAGCGTGTAGCCAAAAGCAACACAAATCGGCTTAATGCCAAGTTTGGTGAAAACTTAACCTCTGTGGATATCAACTATTGGCAATTATAATGCAAGGCTGAAGACTGTAAAATCTTATCTTATGAAGTGACCTAGTAACATAGCATTGATAGGCAGAACATGCTTTGTCTTACAGTATAAAAAAAAAAAAAAAAACCTCACCTTAAATACTCATGAACTAAATTCCCTTTGCGATCCCTACTTTCTGTACAAAAATACTGCAATCATGGCTGTAAGTAAGCAGTCAACTATTGAATAAGACTTCTTCCATTTGCCATTTACTTTCTTCTTACTCATTTCTACAGCATCCACAAAAGCTTAAAGAGATTATGGAAGGAGATCCGCAGCAATTTCCAAAAATCTATTTGCTGGGCGGTATTGTGTCATGTCATATACTTGAGATTGTTCATCCTCAACATTAATAGCATCTGCTATTTTAACAATTCTTAGCTTTTTTTCATCTTCTAGCAGCCTCTCCTAATACCACGAGACCTATAGTCTTCAAACACACAATACAAGACATATTAGCTGTTACCAATACATCATTGCCATACTTTTCAAGGAGCACTGTTTTTAATTGAGAAAAACTCACTTTTATTCTCATTTATCATTTAGTCAATTGTAAACTGTCATTCCTGCACACCGTTTCTAAGAAATGTGAAAGTTTATTGCATTGCTGCTTTCCCATCAATTCAAGGTAGTCTACTGTACTGTCATTTCACTCAAAACTTTCAAGTTTCATTTACTATATGTAGATGAAGCAAGGAATGTAGTAGAGCAATTTCCTATAAACTGGTGGGTCTGCTGCCCATTTACCTCATTGACATCTGTTAATTCAATTAATGTGACTTACTAGGCATTCATAAAGTAATTAGTTTATAACTAGTTCCAGGCATATGGCGTTGCTGTTAGGGCCCCACTGGCACAGTTAGAAAGGTGTATTTTGAATTTTTCATGGAGATTCATATGGAGGTTTGTTTTTAGCATACTCTAGGAACATTGCAGTTCGTCCGAACAATAAACTTAAGTATATGCATTTGTAGGAAATTCCGTCTACTTTAATTTTGTATAGAGTGATCATCTTAAAAAATTGCTTAGTTTTTAAATTATAGGTAAAAATTTTGAGGGGTCCCTCCCCCAACCTTGGTTTTAATTATGGAGCAGGCCTCTGCTGAGGTGGCAAACCTAAATTTTGGATTCACCACCACAAGACTTATAGAATCAGTGAAAAAAATCTTTATTTTTTTCCTGTTTGTCAAACCCTTTGTTGACTTGGCTATTAATGTAATCAAATGAAATGTATATGCTTGTTGTCAAAATATTTCTTGTTTGTGCCCAAATGTGATAATTTATTTTTTGAAGTGTAAAGAAAAAAAAAAGAAAAGAAAAGAAAAGGTGTGTGTTTATGTAATTAAATATAACTTGTCAAAATGAAATTTAGAATTTCCAGAGGAAATGAAAACCTTAATATTAGCATTTATTGAGACAATCAAAAGGTGTTAATTGTGCATTTTTATTTAACCCTTTGAGCGGTGCAGGTTTTTGGATTTGTCATGAAGACCTGTATTTAACAGCATTTATTAGGAAAATTTGTAAAATTACTTATTTTAATCTCTGTTTTCATAAACTTACTTTCGTTAAAATGACATTCACATTATTAAGGAAACTAAGAAAGCAAAATATCTTACATTATAAGATAACATGTACCAAATGACAAAAAATCTCATGAGTGAGTAGAGCCAGTTATGCCATTCAGATGGTTAAGAAATGCAGTCAGTTCTGTTTAATTGGGAACTTAACAAGCAGGTGCCTAATCTGTCTGAAGAATAATTTTAAAATTTAAAGTATTCAAAAGAGATTATTTTACAAAGCTATAAATTAATATTCTTTCAGTTGAATTAAGTAAGAATTGTTTTTTAAAAGAAGAATTTGTGTATTTTGTGCTGTAAATCAGCATGAACATCTAATGCAGAATTGCTTTTTCAGTCAAAATGTAGTTTCTTTTTTGTTATCTTTTATAATCATCATTTCTTTCACTCTACCTCATCTTTTAATTGATGTATAATATCACCATCAATTTCAATGTAATTTTTTCTTTTGATGTCATTGTTAGAAACTGAACAATTCATCAATATTCTTTGTTTTTTACAATTTTGAAATGTCCTCCATCTCCCTTTTTTTTTTTTTTTTTTTTTATTATTATTATTTATATTCCTTCTTGAATTTTTTAAAATTATGATACAATTTTTTTAATTATCTTTCTTCTTTCTGTAGAATTATTTCTTCCAAAGTCAGAAAAAATAAGTAATACTTATATAAATAATTAGAAAAGTTTTATTTTTAAAGCTGTTTCTTTGTCAAGTATGTTTTTATCAAATGCCTTAGTATATTCCATCAATTTGTCCAGTACAGCTTCTCCCCTCTTTCTATTTTTATCTCTGTTGGCAAGATTAGTGGATATAGTGCTGACAAGTAGAATTTTCAGTTAAGTGTTTTCGAGGTTTATGAGATGCTGCATAATTGTTGCAAATCAAAAAGTTATTTTTTCGATTTTGTCAGTATTACATCTGTTTATTAAAACTTTTAAACTGTGTTTACATATATCTTTTGTGTGTCATTTAAAATAATATTTATATAAATTCTCAGCCTTTTATAGCTTTGAAACTTAACAGTAACATTTTTTTAATTGTTTTTTTTTTTTCTTTAAGTATATGGTAAAAATATAATACATATGCTTTCTTAGAATGAATTCTCGAGACTTAACATAAGTTGCTAAAACTTAAAATAAGTTGATAAAATAGTTTCATCAATATTATAGTAATCTTTTGCTCCTCTAGTAATTTTAGCATTTTCCTTAATGTTCTTTCTTCTGCACTAGTGTAGCTATTACCTCAGATATTAATAGCTATATCCATTATACATGCCTTTTTGGTTTGGGATGTAGTTGTGACTTTTATGGGAGTATAAGCTCATAAAACACTTAAAATTGTGTAAATATCATGGTGGGGAAATATTCCTCAGAAAAATTTTACAGTATATGTCCCTGAGTATTTCCTTTCATAAGGTAATATGTAAATAAGGTAAAACTATCATTAGTTATAATTTTATGGATTCCTTTTATATATGTGTTTTGAGTAACAGTAAATAAGTTATTTGAATGATTTTTATTACTCTGCATTGTTCTGAATGAAGATCCCTTTTTTATCATTAGTTTGAAAATTTTTGGTTACTGATTTTTAAAAAAAACTTATTTAGCCTGGCGTGCATTTGTATGTTTGCTTTTGCATAATCTTTGCCCTTTTTTTTTTTTTTTTTTTGTGCCAAAGAAACAAATATATTTTGCTCAATTTATAAAAAGCCAAAACTAGTCATTTGATATAATTTTAAACAAATGTGTTTAGATGTAATGAAAATAACATGTAATATGTTTTAGCTAATGTCTTTTATAATTACCTCAAGTTTTTAAAAATGTAAATGCACAGACAATCTTGTTTCCTTAACATTTCAGACTTATGCAAATCTAGATTTGTAATAGTTTAATCAATTCTGTAAATAGCGTTTAGATACAAAAAAGATATCTTAGTCATGTATTTTTGAGCTGTGTAAAATATTTAGATAAATTTTAATTTCAGTTTTTATATAACAGAAATTTGAAATACTATATCTAATTTTTGTGCTTTTTTATTAAAATGCATGATTATTTTTTTTAAATTTTCTGCTTGGCCAAAACGGGTACTTATGTGCTAGTGGCCAGGGTATTTGGATCTGTCATGGAAGACCTGTATCTAAAAAGTCTTTATTAGCTAAATTTGTATATTTGCTTATTTTAATGTCTATTTTCGTAAACTTATGTCCATTAAGAGGACATTTATATTATTAATGAAAGTAAGAAAGCAAAATATCTTAAATTATAAGCTAGTATATATCAGGTAACAAAAAATCTCATGACCGGGTAAAGCCGGCCATGGCACTCAGAGGGTTAAATAATTCATCCATCTGAATGAAATTTTTACCATGGAAATTGCATTTAATTATAAACTGTAGGAAAAAGATGAAATTATCTCCAACTTATATAATATATGGCTAATATTTAGTTTTTTAAATTGCTAGTTAGGATAAACTTTCAGAAAATTAACTAAAATATTTCATTTTCTCCAAAAAATAAATGGGAAACCAGCTTTAAGAGCTAATATATTTAAGTAGTATAACATTTTAAACTAAATAGCTGTAAAATATTTTATGAAACATTAATTGTGACTGAACAAATTTATGATTGTTTTAATGGATTATCAACAAAGATGGCTAGTCTTCCAGAAATGTTTACATTTCTGAGATTTTTTGTACTATGAAAATTACCAGAATGCATACATAGCTGCGAAGATTTTTATATCAGTAAAATTTAGGCTCAGAACTTGTGAACATTGCTGAAACATCTGTAGAAATTTATAGTTATAGAAAATTTGTCCTGTTATAGCCCATGGAATGTAATTTTTATGTGAATTAGCCAATGGCCATGCTAGCATATTTAGAAAATAAATAAATAAAAAGAAGAAAGAAAGAAAGAAAATTCTTGGAATAGGATTTTTTAATATGGGAAATATTAATGGCATTTCTAATTTACTCTATCATATATAATTTTACTAAATGTACAGCAAAAGCTTGGAAAATTCTGGATATAAAAGATGGAAGTCATGTTAGAAAATTCAAAAGAATGGAAGAAATTTCCAATCTAAAATTATAAAAACAATCATCATTATCTTATTTGTTACCAACTTGTATATCAAAACCCTACATTTAAAATTTTTGAGATTTCAGGAAAAAAATTTGAAAATACTCACTCTCTTGTATGCTGTCCCATAGAAGGCAGGTCCCAAATAATATCCCTCCTCCAAATACAAGGAAAGAAACAAAATTTATATTATTTTTTAAATGAAACTATCTGATCAAGAATTAATGAGTAATTTAAAAACTAAGGTTAAGTTCTTATAAATTGAGTTGTGACATCCTACTTATTCGTTAAGGGTACTAAATTACAGTGTTTGGTGACAATGCTGCATGCATACTAATAGTATAATGAGCTCTGTAATGACACCACAAATTTTCCATTTGCAGAATTTTTCATGAGGTTTTTTTTTTTTATTTTATTCTAAAATATTTTAGTTCCTTGAGCTTTTCAGTTAGTTGCATACTAAATCAAGCATTTAATGTATTTCCAAAAAATATTTTTTAGATTGCATATAATATGAAGGTGTTATTTATATTTAAAATTGATAATAGCATTTTTTGGATTCCATATAATATGAAAGTATTATTTAAATTTAAAATTGATAATAGCATATCAGGCAACAGTGGTTATGAAAATATGCTTTTTGTTTGTTTATTGGAGAAAGTTAATTTATAAGAATGAATGTGTAGTTCTTGTTATGTTAAAAGTTAAGAAAACATAAAAAATTGCATATTAGTGTTTATCTAGTATTTGTAACAGTCAAACTCATAAGAAAGTGTTAGGATTTAAGAATTTTACTCACTTATGCATTGCTTCTTCTAATGTTAAATGAAATATGTAACTATTTTCTGTTGTCTAAAAGTTGAACATAGGAAAAAAGCAAAGATGTATATCATGCAGATTGTAATTAATAAGGGAATAAAATTATCAGTATCTTCCAGTCTTTTTTTTTTTTTTTTTTTTTTTTTTTTTTTTTTTAAGAGAAAAGAAAGAAAGGGAATTGATGAATCAAGAAAAGTAAAAAGTGAAATGGGCTATTTTAGTTACTTTTTAAACTAGATAATAACATATAAAATCTTTCTGGTGCAAATAATAGAAACAGGGCCAAAAAAAAATTAAAAATCATTAAATGTAAATAATATTTGCAATCATGAACAAAAAGGACATGTAGGAACATTAAAGATTTTAAAATGTGTTAACAGTATAGTGCTGTTTTGTGCAATGTGTAATAATTCTGTTTTGTATTTCTTTGTAAAAATTTCTACTAAAAGAAACAAAACTAATTCTAAAGATATTGTCCTTTCAGGAAAGAAAAATATTTTTAAAAGAGCCTATATTTGAGAGTAAAACACATAAACATGTATAATTCTTCTTTTTAATATATGGTGGAAATTAATTATGCATATAATTGTACTTAAAATTTTGTTTCTCAGTGTTCAGTTTTTTATTCAGCTATTATCTCATGACTTAAGTATACTTACTTGTATATATTTAAAAGCTGTTTATAGGAATCAGTATTTCTCGTTAATAACAGCTCCACTGTGATATTTTTGTCTTTTTTATATTTTATATTCCCAACTGTATAAAACAGTATTAATTATGTCAAATTTTATGAACATTTTAATTATATCAGTCAAATAAATGCAGTATGCTTTTATTAATTGAATAAGATCTTTATTACTTCTGTAATGCATTTAGTATAGTGAGTTTGTTTATAATAAGATTTAAGAGTAAAAATTTGTATACATTTAGTCATGGTTTAAAATATTAAAGGACTGTTGCAGCATGCAAGAATCATATCTGTTAAACAATTTATGAGATTGCAGTACTAAGTGTTATAAGGTATTTTCTCCCTCTTTCCTGCATTCCTTCATGGTGTAATATTAGTGCACTCGGCTCATATTCGAAGGTCCAATTTAGAGTTCCAGTGAGGTCATGCACATTTTTCTTATCTCCAGCATTAAAAAAACCTAATGACTGTATAAATGGCATCCGAACTAAAAGGTGGTGGACAATAATTTGTCACCACCTGGATTTGGCGATTGGGTCCCCTAATCCCCAGTCACCCTTTAAAAGGGGAGTATGTTAGGTAACGATATTACACTCAGTGCGTATTCGAAATTTCAAGGTTCAAGTTCCAGCGAAGGCATTGCGCATTTTTCACATCTCCAGCATCAAAATACCTAATGACTCTATAATGTTCTAGTTAGTAATTATCAATTTTGATTCATACAACTAGTTTATGAATAGAAATAAATCTCAATAGGAAGATCATTAAAAACTCAAAAACTAGATGGGAATTACAAAAATAAAAATCTTTTATAATTAAATTTTTCTTTTTGTTATCAATATGTTTTACTTACTTCATTCGAATATTTTAATTTTTTCATGAATACTGTTATTTTCTGAAATTATTTTTGTTTTGCTTCGAGAATGTTCTGTGATATGCTGTT